CCGGCGTCACGGCTGCTCCAAACATTAAAACTTAGTTGGAAAAAGTTAGCAACAGGGCCGAAGGAAAAGCGCGGGCCGGATTCTGCCGGGATCTGGTGGTGCCCGAAAGCAGAAGCAGGCCCGCACCCATTTGCAGACTCGGTCTGCACAGTCCGCAGCTTTGGAAGATCTGCTCGGACCCTAATGGTGTGTTTATTTGTTGGCTGCGTGCCAGAGGAGCTGTCAAGCCATTTGCGTCTGAAAATATTTACTTCAGGTTCAGTGTTAAGCTCTACGGCGATTATTTTAAAAAGCAAGCCAGCTTTGCCGATTTAGAATCTTTTTTCCACTCCTTTTCAAACAGAAGGCGGCATCGTTACAATTGTCCTGAGAAGCAGGCTAGATCCTGACGTGCCAGCTATCCCTCCTGTCTTCCAAGACTTCCAGGTTTGGGGCACTGTGCCATCCAAAACATGGCCCTCCCTTGCTTAACAAATTGTGCGGCCAGAGGGATTTTATTCCAGAAGACCTGGGCTGCTCTGTCATATGAATATATCTGAACACTTTGGACAGCAATGTTCAATTGTGTATTTTAAAGCAGTTTATGGCAATCTGTTATTAGCCTTTCTGCTTTGTTATGATAAAGGATGCAGTGTTTATAAGGAACTACTTAGATTAAATAGAAGCAGCTCAAATGATTTAGTGTGATATTGGCATACTGCAAAGATACTGTTTTCTGAAAAGTTGGAAAGTGGGCCTTAATCAAGCAGGGTTTAGCCTTAAAAATCTTTCCTACTTTCATCCCACTCATTGATACAGAGACCACAGACCAACATCACCACAGTTGAAAATAAAGCTCATGTCTAGGGACCGTTCTAAAAACTCTTATTAACTTGTCATAAATAATGCGAAACTCATTATGTTGTCTATAACTGTTTTTTTGTTGTTACATACAATTACCTTGTACTTCTAACATAAAATTATTGATTAAAAGCAGAACCTCTCATTTGCATAATTATATTTTGCTCGTTGATGTTTTCATCATCAGGGGGAATACATTTTTGTATATTGCACCTAATTTGTTCAGGTAAAATGTTGCTTGGTTAAGAAATCTTTGATTAATACAGAAAGGGAGCAGATTCAAGAATGACTCATTGTGAGCCAAATCTTCTCTGTTGTCTTGGCTTGCGGCAGGCATGGCACAAGCACAAAAAGGATTTCTTCTCTAAACATACTGTAAAAAGATAAACTGTGGCAGTTCAAAAACTAACACATTTATTCTGGTATAAGTTTTCATGGATTACGTTAGTTTCGAAAGCTCATTCGGAATAAATAAATCAGTGTTTCAAGTGCTGTGCTTTTTTTCTTTTTTTTTGCAACAGGCTGATAGTCACTCTGAAAAGTCACGCTATACCAAGGAATTGTGATGGCCACTGCCTTGGATCATTTTAAAGGAGGGCTGGCTCCATCAGTTGGTTCTGTGACATGGTATCTCAATGGGACTTCCAAGTTTGGGGCACTGTGCCATTGAAACTAGAATTTAACCAGGGATGGACTGTATTTCTTGAGAATCAGTCTGTATTTATGGTAAAAAACACATGTCTCGGACTGGTTCCATATGAAGAATTAAGTGTGAAATCTCCATCCCTGTGTTCACTCAAATTTTCCAGGAGGGCAGCCCTGTGGGCCTTTCCTCATTGCTGAGCTGGTGCTACGCTATGCACCCATCCTTGAGATGGTAGAAAACATTCTGAGTCTCCACTGCCAAACATCATAACATTTTGGGTCTCCACTGCCAATCCCTCCTTATGTCTACTGCATTTCATGTCATGGCAGTCTGCCTCCAATATAAGGGCTGACAAACCCTAACACCTTGATGTTGCTATTTAATAATGTCAGAGTAAGGGGCAAAATACTGCTTTGATGCTGATACAGCTCAGGATGACTTAATAATGTCTCAATCATGGTCTGAGGACAAAGTGAAGGCAATGTCATAGTGACATGACAGAAAAAGATAAATAAATTTAATTTAAGGAATTGATAAGGTCACCTAATTTGGACATTGAGACTCCGGGTGGCATACAGCACATCAGAAAACAAAACAACAATTCTGTTAAAATCCAAGACATTAGTAGACAACCAGGAAATCACGATTCTACCCCTCTCTAGATGGGAAACGCGATCATCCCAGCCCTAAAGTCTGAGGAAAAAAATCATGTTTTTACTGCCTTTCTGAGGCCAACAGGGTTGGGACCAACTGTTTCCCTGAGGAGATCCAGAATGATTTGCAGTTACCACAGCAGAAAAAGGCAAATCTCTTGGGTCCCATTAGATGGTGTTGTTTCAGGGAGGGATCTAAAGCATGCCCATTCAAGCATGTAGGACAGGCAGATATCATTGGGGAAAGGTGGTCCCACAAATAACCCAGTCCTGTAGGTTTTAGGAGGGCTTTACAGATGATAACCAACACCTTGACTTGCACTTAGAAGACAGTAGGAAGCCAGTGGAGCTCACAAAATGGTAGTGTTACATAAGCCTACTGAGGTGAGCCCATAACACATCTTAAGAAGCCCTCCTTGGACTTAACTTTTGTCCTGTCTCCAACCTCCCCTTCTTAGGGAACATTGTTGAGTGGTTGTGGTGTGCTCAGACTTGGAGAGCCCTGGAGGAAGCAGATTATCTGACCCTTTTCAGTCAGGGTTCAGCCCAGGTTACAGTACTAAGATGGCCTTGGTTGTACTTGTGGATAATCTCTGGAGGGCTTAGGACAGGGATGGTGCATCCGTCCTGGCCCTCCTGGATCTCTCAGTGGCATTTGATACCATTGACCATAGTATCCTTCTGGACCGACTCCGGGGGCGGGAAGGGGGGCACTGTTTTCCAGCAGTTCTCCTCCTTCCTCTGTGGCAGGTTCCAGGCAGTGTTGGCGGGGGGAGAGGCTGAGCCCTCAGAGCTCCAGTCTTTTGCCCCTCCTTTTTAACATCTACACACAGATTTCTGCAATGCACTCTACATGGGGCTGCCCTTGAAGACCATCCGGAAATCACAAGTGGCCTAGAATGCAGTGGTGCGTGCAGTTTTGGGCACCCAATGGTTGCCCATATTGCACTGCTACTGCATGATCTGCCCTGGCTTCCAGTTCTTTTCCAGGTGCAATCCAATGTGCTAGTTTTATCACCTTTAAAGCCCTGAATGGCACAAGGCCAGGTTATTTGTGGAACGGCCTCTCTCTGAGGGTATCTGCCTGCTCCACCAGATCCGATAGGATGGACATGCTCTGGGTCCTTTCCCTTAAATCTTGCCATCTAGTGGGAATTAGGCAGTGCCTCTTCTTGGTGGCTGCTCCTGCCTTTCGGAAACCCCTTCCCCCTGAGAACCGGCAGGCCCTCCTGGCCTTTAGAAAAGCCTTGAAGATCTGCCTTTTCCCACAAGCGTTGGGGTAGTGTGTTGGCTGGAGCCCAGGAAAGTTTTCTGTTGGATGTGAGGGGGGTGTTGTTTGGGGGGAGTTTTTATGTCGGTTTTATGGTTTTTATTGTTTTATTATTGTTTGTGCATAAGATGGGCAGCTATATAAATCTTCTAAATAAATAAAAATTGTAGCTTCCGGATGGTTTTCAAGGGCAGCCGTGGGTAGAGCACACTGCGGTAATCCAGCCAGGAGGTGACTAGGGTGTGACAGTGTGCAGGGCCTCCCGCTCCATGCTGCAACTAGCACAGATAATGTAGTTGTGCAAAGGCCATCCATGTCACAACTGCCACCTGCTCTTCATGATGCTGCCAGAGTGTGTTTGTGCCATGGTTATGTACAAGTGAAAAAAGGGGCTATATCATGATCTGATTAGCAATCTCTTGAAATTTTCCTAGTGTTGCTTCTCTCCTGTATTGTTGTTTTTAACCACAGAAAATCCAACTTTTGGGGAAAGAATATTACAGAATATCTACAGTGGAGATGTAACCCTTGCATTGGGTAGCACTTTAGAATCATTTTAAAAAGCTTAATGAATGCTAAGACCCTTTTCTGCCAATATTTTTATAACTACTAAAATATTCTGAAACATTACTTCAGTATTTTTTACGCTGCTAGCTTCTTTTATGCTATTAAAAAGAGAAACCACTTCCTAGTCACTACTATTTCAGCCATGCACATTTCTGATTCAAAGGAACCTTATACAGTTAGATTTTTTGGCATTTTGTGGGTGGCAATGGATAAACTTTGAATCAATAAGAAGCAGGCCTTTTACACCAAACAGATCTTTACGATCGCTGATATTTTCACATGGGACACTCGGTGAATCAGACCCTCTCTTTTCTCATCCATCCTGTGTCAGTATCACTGATGGAGACTAAAACTAGTAGGACAGCCATGTAGAAAAAGTGCAATAACCCAGAAAGCATGGAAAATCAGCTGCAATTCCAGTTGCAATTTATGGACCAAGAGGGTCAGGTATATATGTTTGGAAGAAAGCTCTGCTGTGTCTGGAACTGCTTTTTCAGGAACACAAGAATGAGAGTCCTACTAGTAAGGCACACAAATTCAGTCCTGCTGGATAATTGAGACAGTCTGGTTTAGCCCA